ACCCAGTCCCCCAGGATATCGGGTTAAAACCCAAAAATTTACACACCAGCAGTAAAGACACACCAAAACTGGACTGGCCTTTGTAGGAACCAAAGCTCACAGTGGATACAGGAGATCACAGGTTGTTAGTGTCCCACAGGCAGGGGTTCTGATTGGAAGCTAGCACAGTGGGGCATCTGGGGTGCTGCAAACACTTTAGTTCTTGGCCTGAGTAGTGGTTCCATGAGTTACTGATTTCATGACAGCTTATTGGTCTGTATACTTATGACTTGCAGGATTTTCTCTACTGGTTTTATATTTCAATAGTTGGATTTTTAAGACATTTATTTTAAGGAAAAAATTTTACCACATTCTCTGGTGTGGTCGAAGTTTATTTATTCTTTCCATGGTATTTTCAAGATTTTTGTCAGGAGTACTTACATAAGTATATCTCTGAACTCTCTCTCTCTCTCTCTCTCTCTCTCTCTCTCTCTCTCTTATATAATACCAAACTACAATACCAAAATCTTAGATAAAAACAAACACAATAAATAAAATAAATAAATAATCAGTATATATCCTGAAAATCCAGGATTTTATAATATTGAACTGACCTCAGTCATAAACCTTCTGCTTCTTCCACAGGGTTTTGATCATGTGAAGCCACAACATTCATTAATGGCAAATAAGAAAGCAGGGAATTCATGACTGTATACACTGTTGCCAGGTAGGAAGGAAGGAAAGAACATAATAGGAAGGCAGACCCTGAAAAACAGATCCCTGAGGCATTGAAACCATACTATTTCCAGAAAGTTGCACAGTCTGCCTTTATGTCCATTTCCCCAAAGACTCCTCAGTGACCTATCTTCCTTGTTGAGGATCACATCATATGGACAATTGTTTAGACATCTCATTGAGCAGGGGTGCCTGGGTGGCTTTGTCAGTTGAGCGTCAGACTCCGGCTCAGGTCATGATCTCATGGCTCATGAATTTGAGCCCCCGCATCAGGCTCTGTGCTGACAGCTCAGAGCCTGGAGCCTGCTTTGGATTCTGTTTCTCCCTCTCTCTCTGCTCCTCCCCCACTCACACTCTGTCTCTCTCATAAATAAATAAACATTAAAAAAAATTTAAAGAAATCTCATTGAGCACAATCCATTAATGTAAACTCCTTTCGTCAAGGTTTCTGGAATACAATACCATGAACTTATTTTTCTTTTAAAAGTGTCTATTTCTCTGATTAATCAGATGCAGTAGAAACAGGGATGGTCTAATTTCCTAGAAGAACTTAATGTGAGGTAGAATAGAATTGCCAGCTATCTCTACCATTCACAAGAGCTAGAGAATAAAGCTCCCTTCTCTCATCCTTACTCCCAAGATCCTCTCAATTTCTACTCAACCGAAATCGTTCATTTTTCAGTCCATAACTCTATGCTTTTAGAAGGTAAAATCATTAAATGCTTTGATCATGGTCTTTGGAAACCAGACCACATTAACATTAAACCCAATACCAGCTCTGCCAACTATTCTACTTTGAGACATCAAGCAAATCAAATCAGAACCTCCTCCCCCCAATCTGTTAAATACACATGATCACCAACTCACCAGGGTTTGCTGTTAAAGGCATGCACAGTTCCAGGGTACAAGGCCTGGAACAGGAAAAAAACTCAGCAAATGCTATTCCTTTCTGCTTCTTTCTCATTTTACTTGTTTTTGCAAGAGACTATGTGTTCGTCAGTGGCTGTGCTGCTACATTCCAAAGCAACCAGTTGATTTGGTCAGTGCAGATTCGGAGTTACACTCAAGCCATGCCTCATGTTGCATTTTGCATCAAATAGAACACCTGGGGTTTTGGCATCAAAGCTGGGTGTACCCTATGGTGACCAAGAGAGCCTTGAAGTGTCCCTCAGTTTGACTTCTTCCTGACTCCAAGCCCCTGACCTTCCTTTTCCTGGAGTGTTTACTTTACAAACTTGTGATTATAAGTCCTTTCTCTGTTCTTTTGAAATAGAAGTCTTTTAAGAAAGTTTCTTGCCAGTTTTACAACCCAGGAATGCCTTTCTCAAGGACCTGGGTACTATTTCTTTTAAATGTAATCACCCACGAAGACAGCGCTCCTATTTCTGAGTTTCTGTAGAGAGGTTGAGTGACTTGTTCCACGTTGTCACCACCTCTGATCGTGAAGATACGAGAAAAATGAGAAAGTTTACTTTTCCTCTGGATAAAGCCAAGTAGCAAACATTAGGTGGCCTATAATCCCCTATGGAGTTGGGTACTCCTGGGTATTCAGCCTTGGTCTATGCTCTCTCCCTTTCTGCTGGCAAGAGTATTGGAATAAAATAAAGTTTTGTCTACTAGTTTGTAGGTTGTATTTTTTTGTTTAACAATGGATATATAATTTCCTTGCACACCGATATGAGTCATGAATAAATATACCTCTGTAATGATCTATTGATACGTGTATAACTACAAACTCATCAGAGCTTCTTAACCAGAAAGACTAGAAACATAGTACTGAAGGAACAGCACAAGGTATAAATCAATAAATGTCACTGATTTAATGTATCAGTGAGTTGACGAATGAATCAAGAAATATTTAATAAATTCAGAGAATTTTGAGATAGTGTCTTTCCTGTCATCATAAATCAATCTCTCTCTCTTTCAATCTCTCTCTCAACTTTTAATCTCTTTCCATGCACTTATTTTCAAAATCATATGTAAAGGGTATTTTAAAATAAATGAACATGTATAATGCACTAACAATTCAAGTGAAACACATGTTTTGAAATAGACATTAGTAACATACCACTTAATATGTGGCTCACTCAGTGCCCAGCACCCTAAACAGGATCAGCATGCTCGATTATTTTTAACAGTGATGTAAAGTTCCTTTCCCCTTCCTTTTACACATTTCCTATGGAAGTGCTGATCTTCATCCAAAAGAAGAGTTCAGTTTTGCTTGCTAAGTGTGGGTATCATCAGCCACCTTTGATATGTCTGTTTGCCCGACTGCTTTCAGCTGTAATATGGCCATAAATACCTTCCAACACACTTTTCTCCCTACGAAGCTGTGTATTAATAATTAGTGAGTTACATCTGTTCCATCTGTCACATCAGATTCATTATTTTTGTAACAGCAATCAACCAACAGACTGTGCAGGAATTAGAGTCCTTACTTGTCTGTCTGTCTTTCTTTTTTTAACATGACTCTCAGTTAAACCCTCCACTAAACAGGCATGGTTGTATCTAATAGCTGTGGGAGCCTGTTACTTAAAAAGAGAGAGAGAGAGAGAGAGAGAAATCAATGCCTGTTTGTTCAATAACAGGGCAAAAGAGAAGAGAACACGTTTGCAAACAGTAGGTGAGGCTTTCAATTTGAAAAGCAATCAGAGTATCAGTTGTCTGGCTTCAAGGGCAGAGCTCATAGGTATACACCAACAGAGGGGAGGATATCTGAATACAGCTCTTCTTAGTTTTGAGATTTACACATTTACAAAGCCATTCCTTGACAGTCTTACATTCTGATTCTGAAAGCTTATGCAATGATGCCCCATTTTGATGGCTTAGACTTGTTGCTTGCCGCTTGATATATCTTATCAAATTTCAAATTTATTTAAAATAAATAGGATTTTTACCATAAGGGCACATATGGGCCATCTTCTAGAAAGCAAACAACACAGGCGCACGTAACCCTGAAGTTCAACAAACATTTACAGAGTCCCTACTCTTTACCAAGGATTGTAGCAGGCATTAAGGATGCAGAGAGGCTTTGCTTGTGGAAGCATGTCAATAGTGAAAGGGCGGGCCTACGCCGGCTGACTCCATCTTGTTCTGTGTCCTCCACCTTGAGTGACTATGTCCCCGACATGACCCCTTTTCCGGGAAAATCGCAGAAACCTCAGATCGCGCCTCCTCCCCTTGAGTAACCTCCCGCTCACCCGTTCAAACTTCCTGATCAAAACACGCCCAGCGACCTGCGTAACAGGACTCTGACCCTTCCCCAGCCAATCAGCCGAGGCCACGACCCTTCCCCAGCCAATCGGCTGCCCCTAGACCCCTATAAAACCTTTGTGCTTTTGAAACTCGCTCTCCCCGGTATCTCACCTCTGCGTCAGTGCAGGTAGGGGACTGAGCTCAAGCTAGCTCGAATAAAGGCTCTTTTGCTTTTGCATCAGACTCGGCTCCCTGGTGGCCTTTGGGGATCACGAATTCTGGGCATAACATTTGGGGGCTCGTCCGGGATCCCGAAGAACCCCGAGGGACCCCTGACCCGGAGAGCCTAACTGGCCACGGTTAGTGTCTGTCTGTTTGTTCTGTCTTTTCTGTGTGAGCTCATTTCTGGAATTCTGGTAGTGCCCGACGCGGTCTAAGTGTACGCACTGGAGGACCACGGACTGGGAGTTTCGGAAGACATTCCGATTCTCTCTTCTGGAGGGACGGGGAATCCTCTCAAAGGTCTGAGACGAGGCGGGTCGCTCCCGCTGGTCGGCGTGAGGCCGTTGTCTTTGGAGGGACGTGGAATCCCCTCAAATGTCTAAGCTAGCTTTCAGTTTTGCTTCCATGGAGTTGGAAGACTTTCTAGGGGCCCTCTGTCTGTTTTTGTGTTTCTCTGTTTTGCTCTGTGGAATTACTGGACGGACGTTATGGGACAGACTCAGACTACTCCTCTAAGTATTATGATTGATCACTTTAAGGATGTGAGGGGAAGAGCTAACAACCTCAGTGTGGAAGTCCGAAAGGGTCAGTGGCAGTTTTTTTGTTCTAGTGAGTGGCCAACTTTCAATGTCAGATGGCCACCAGGGGGGACCTTCGACCTCCCTACCATCCACCGAGTCAGGAGTATCATCTCTCGGCCTAAGACTGGTCATCTTGATCAGCTCCCTTACATGATCACTTGGCAGGACCTTGTAGAAGACCCACCCTCTTGGCTTAAGCCCTTCCTAGCCCCGCTCCCTCCGGAACCAAAACCCATTCTTGCTTTGCAGGGGACAAAGAAGAAGAAAAGTCTTATCCAGACTTCAGCACCCCTCTACCCTGTCTTACAGGGGGGTACTGAAGAAGAATTAATTTTTCCTCCCCCATATAACCCCTCTAGGATGCCGGAAGAACACCATCCTCCCCCTCTGGGGGAGGCAGATGCTGTTCTGAGAGCGGGAGGCGGAAAAGCTCCAGTGGGAAGCCCGCCCTTTACCAGACAAAGGGCTCAGAGGGAGCAATCTGCCTCCACCACCGACTCCACTCTTCTGCCCCTGCAAGCCGCCGGACCCCCAAACACGGAGGGGAATCAGCCCCATCACTATTGGCCTTTCGCCACTAGTGACCTCTACAATTGGAAAGCTCAGAATCCTAAGTTTTCCGAGAAACCGGCAGGGCTTATTGATTTATTAGACTCTGTTCTTTTTACCCATCAGCCCACGTGGGATGATTGCCAGCAGCTTTTGCAGGTCCTGTTCACAACTGAAGAAAGAGAAAGAATCCTCAATGAGGCCCGAAAACTAGTTCCGGGCTCAGACGGGAATCCCACCACCAACCAGGCTGAGATAGATGCCTCCTTCCCCGTAACTCGGCCCCAGTGGGATCTCAACACGGCAGAAGGTAAGGAGAGGCTCCGGGTCTACCGCCAGACTCTAATGGGGGGGTCTCCGAATGGCTGCTAGAAAGCCAACTAATTTGGCCAAGGTAGGAAATGTACAACAGGGAAAAGATGAATCTCCGGCTGCCTTTTTAGAACGGATCATGGAGGCATTCCGTACCTATACCCCCATGGATCCAGAGGCTCCGGAAAGCAAGGCAGCTGTTATCATGGCCTTTGTAAACCAATCAGCCATAGACATTAGGAGAAAATTACAGAAAATAGATAGACTAGGAGAAAAAAGTCTGCAGGACTTACTGGTGGTAGCCGAAAAGGTATATAATAACCGGGAGCCTCCTGAGGACAAGCAGGCTCACGTCATGGCGGCTGCCAGCAGTAAGCAGACTCGAGACCTGGCCAGAATACTACTAGCTACCACTGCTGACGTCCCCGAGGAACAAGACCGCCGTCTCCGGCAGCTGGCAGACGACTCAAGAAAAGGTAAAGGAACCACCAAGGGGGGGAAGCAGAGGCTGCAGAAGGATCAGTGCGCATACTGCAAGGGGATAGGGCATTGGGCCCGAGATTGTCCAAAAAGGGCCGGCAGGAAGGGAAGCAAGACTGATCGAGTAAAAGTCCTAGAGCTAGATGAACTAAGTGATTAGGGGAGTCAGGGTTCGGAACCTCTCCCCGAACCCAGGGTAACTCTTAAAGTGGAGGGGACCCCTATTGACTTCCTTGTCGACACCGGAGCACAACATTCGGTCCTCCGCACCCCACAAGGAAAACTAGCCAGCAAGAAGTCCTGGGTACAAGGGGCAACTGGTATGAGCCAGTATTCATGGACTACCCGAAGAACAGTTGATTTGGGAATGGGCCGGGTATCCCACTCCTTTATGGTAATACCAGAATGCTCCTACCCGCTGTTAGGATGGGACTTACTGACCAAGATTGGAGCTCAGATAACTTTCAGACAAGGGGGGTCTCAGGTCACCGATGGCAAGGGCCACCCCATCCAGGTACTGACCATGAAACTGGAGGATGAATACCTCCTCCACCAGGAGGCGCTCCCGAGAGAGGATAATATAGACAGATGGCTACAATAATTCCCCTCGGTTTGGGCAGAGACGGGAGGGATGGGACTAGCCGCTCACAGGACCCCAGTCCTGGTAGAGTTCAAGCCAGGAGAGAGTCCGGTGAGGATCAAACAATACCCCATGACTCAGGAGGCCCGGAAGGGGATCCAGCCACACATCCAGAGAGTATGAAGCCTAGTAGTACTAGTTCCTTGCTAGTCTGCCTGGAACACCCCCTTACTGCCGGTCAAAAAGCCTCACACAAATGACTACCGACCGGTACAAGACCTCCGGGAAGTAAATAAGAGGGTCTCGGACATACACCCAACTGTTCCCAACCCATATACTCTCTTGTGCTCCTTGGCACCCTCCAGGGTCTGGTATACTGTACTAGATTTAAAGGATGCCTTTCTTCAGTCTGCCGCTGGCACCCCAGAGCCAACCCTTGTTCGCCTTGGAGTGGCATGATCCGGAGGAGGGCTACAGTGGGCAACTCACCTGGACACGGCTACCTCAGGGATTCAAAAATTCACCCACCATCTTCGACGAGGCACTACAGGAGGACCTGGGTGAGTACAGAAGGGAGCACCCTGGCCTCACCCTTCTACAGTATGTAGATGACATCCTGATTGCTGCGGACAAGGCCAAAGACTGTGAGGGAGGGACTCAGGACCTGCTGGCTACCCTGGGGGCCTTAGGGTACTGGGCATCCGCGAAGAAGGCTCAGATATGCAGGGAGAGGGTAAGTTATCTGGGCTATATCCTGGAGGGCGGACAGTGGCGGTTATCAGATGCCAGAAAAGAAACTGTCCTAAAGATCCGTACTCCCACCTCCCGAAGAGAAGTGAGGGAATTCCTAGGATCAGCCGGCTACTGCCGCCAGAGGGGAAAACATTTAAATGGGCTGAAAAAGAAGAAACTGCCTTTAATCAGTTAAAAAAGGCCCTCCTAAGTGCCCCAGCCCTGGGCCTACCAGACATTAGGAAACCCTTCCACCTCTTTGTAGACAAACATAAGGGAATAGCAAAAGGGGTTCTAACTCAAGCCTTAGGCCCCTGGAACCACCCAGTGGCTTACCTGTCTAAGAAACTAGACCCAGTGGTTGCCGGCTGGCCGCCATGCCTAAGAATTATTGCGGCGACAGCACTCCTAGTCAAGGACGCAGACAAACTGACCCTAGGACAGGAGATCTGGATCACGCCCCCACACGCCATTGAAGGGGTCCTGAAACAGCCTCCGGATAGATGGATGAGCAATACACATATGACTCATTACCAGAGCCTCCTACTCAACCCTCCACGAGTGCGGTTCCACCCCAATGCAGCCCTCAATCCTGCAACCCTGCCGCCCGACCCTGACCTAGGTGCTCCACTACATGACTGTGGGGAAATCCTGGAACAAGTACATGGATTCCGGACGGACCTGACCGACCGGCCCCTCCCTGATGCCCGATGCCGAGGCTACTTGGTTCACTGCTGGCAGCAGCTTTGTGCAAGACAGACACAGGTATGCGGGTGCAGCGGTGGTCACCGAAACGGACACCGTATGGGCGGAGGCTCTACCCTCCGGAACATCAGCCCAGCGAGCAGAGCTCATAGCCCTCACCAAGGCGCTGATGCTGGGAGCTAGAAAACGGCTTAACATCTACACAGACAGCTGTTATGCATTTGCCACAGCTCATATTCATGGGGCAATTTATCAGGAGGGGGGTTACTGATGGCAGAAGGACGGACTATAAAAAATAAGCAGGAGATACTTAACCTGCTTACGGCCTTATGGCTTCCTGCCAAGCTAGCCATTATCCACTGCCAAGGGCACCAAAAAGCTGATAACCCAGTAGCTAGAGGTAATCAAAAGGCTGACCAGGCAGCCAAGGCAGTAGCCCTTACTCCAGTCCCCACCATGACCATACAACTACCGGACCCGGGAGACCCAGTTTTACCAGACCAGCCCAAGTACTCCCAGGAGGAGTTACAGTGGATCAAGAAACTCCCCATGGCCCAGGAGATAAAGGGACGGTGGTATACACCTAACAAGGAGCTCATGCTGCCAGACCAGCTCGGAGACTCAATATTAGAGCACATGCATCGGTCTACTCACATGGGGGCCCGAAAATTAAAAGACTTAATCCGACATGCCGGAATCAAGATTCACCAACAGGACACCAAAATAGAGCAAGTTGTATCTGCCTGCAAGACCTGCCAACTCACCAATGCGAGAGCCACATCAAATAAAAAAGGAACCAGGCTCAGAGGCACCAGACCGGGAGCCCAATGGGAAGTCGACTTCACTGAAGTCAAACCAGGAAAGTATGGTAATAAATATCTTTTAGTATTTACAGACACCTTCTCTGGCTGGGTGGAGGCATACCCAACCAAGCATGAAACAGCTCAGACGGTGGCTAAGAAGCTACTCGAAGACATCTTACCCAGGTATGGTTTTCCTGCCATGGTAGGATCAGACAATGGACCAGCTTTTATCTCGCATGTAACATAGGCAGTAGCCAAGGCGGTGGGGGCAAACTGGAAATTACATTGTGCTTATAGGCCCCAGAGCTCAGGACAGGTAGAAAGAATGAATAGAACCCTAAAAGAGACCCTTACCAAATTAACCATGGAGACTGGCGGGGACTGGGTGACTCTCCTACCGTACGCCCTTTACCGGGTTAGAAACACTCCTTACGGGGCGCCTGGGTGGCGCAGTCGGTTAAGCGTCCGACTTCAGCCAGGTCACGATCTCGCGGTCCGTGAGTTCGAGCCCCGCGTCAGGCTCTGGGCTGATGGCTCAGAGCCTGGAGCCTGTTTCCGATTCTGTGTCTCCCTCTCTCTCTGCCCCTCCCCCGTTCATGCTCTGTCTCTCTCTGTCCCAAAAACAAAAAAAAAAAAAAACAAAAAAACGTTGAAAAAAAGAAAAAAAGAAAAAAAAAAAGAAACACTCCTTACACTCTGGGTTTTACTCCCTACAAGATCATGTTTGGCAGGCCACCCCCTGTTATTCCCAGCCTTCGAGCTGAACTTATTGCTGAGTTTAAAGATCAAGAACTTTTTCTTTCCTTGAGAGGGCTCCAGAGGGCGCACGAGGACATTTGGCTGCGCCTCCGTGCCATCTAAGAGGCTGGCCCGACCCGGACACCTCATCAGTACAGGCCTGGAGACTGGGTCTATGTCAAGAGGCACCACCAAGAGACCCTCGAGCCGCACTGGAAGGGACCCTACATCGTGGTGCTGACAACCCCCACCGCTCTCAAAGTAGACGGCATCGCGACCTGGGTCATCACACCCACGTTCGGCCAGCGGACCCCTCCTTGATCCGGAAGGACGTTGTCACGCGATGGGCCATCAGTCGGGACCAACACAACCCGCTCAAGCTCAAGCTACAGCGCATTCGACCCACCTAATATTGGTAACTCTGTTAACTCTGCTTGTCATTGCTCATGCTACCGGGAGTCCCCACGCCCCCCAAAACATCACCTGGCAGATCATAGACACCAGCTCGGGGACAATACTTAATCAGACCTCCCAGAGCCACCCCAGGGACACATGCTTCCCAGAACTTAGCGTAAACCTCCAAACTCTGTTCCCCTTGTCACCACAAATGCAGCCGGTCCCATGATTGGGTCCCTAAGCTACATGACAAGGGGGGAATGAAAGGGCGGGCCTATGCCGGCCGACTCCATCTTGTTCTGTGTTCTCCACCTTGAGTGACTATGTCCCCGAACATGACCCCTTTTCCGGGAAAATCGCAGAAACCTCAGATCGCGCCTCCTCCCCTTGAGTAACCTCCCGCTCACCCGTTCAAACTTCCTGACACGCCCAGCGACCTGCGTAACAGGACTCTGACCCTTCCCCAGCCAATCGGCTGCCCCTAAATCCCTATAAAACCTTTGTGCTTTTGAAACTCGCTCTCTCTCCGGTATCTCACCACTGCGTCAGTGCAGGTAGGGGACTGAGCTCGAGCTAGCTCAAATAAAGGCTCTTTTGCTTTTGCATCGGACTCGGCTCCCTGGTGGTCTTTGGGGATCATGAATTCTGGGCATAACAAATAGTGTATTTTTACTAGTTAAACTTGAATGTGGATCAAATCCAGAAAACAAAACAAAACAATGCTATACATAAAGTCAGGAATTCTATACCTGCCTGTATATGAAAAAGACAAGCTTCTCTGTTGTTAAACACAAGGCAACAGTCCCCAGATGAAGGTGCTTAGGTTAAGTCCTAAGTCCCCAAAGGCATCAAGACTTACTTAGAGTTACTGCTCTCCAGAAATGAAGTCTTGAAGCCATCACTCAGGGGTCGCCTGATCAGCACTAGTTAGGTAATCAGCTTGATACATGCCTGCCATCTCCCAAAGCAAAGCCACCTTGCAATAACCAACAGGCTCTCTTCCCTTCCTGTTTCTGCTCCCTTGTGCCTACAAACAACTCTCATTTTGCTCAGCTCCTTTGAACATCTTTTCTATCTGCTAGATGGGACGCTGCCCGATTCAAATTCTGCTCAAACAAACTCTTAAAAGTTTATTATGCCTCAGTTCATCTTTTAAGAGTCTGGATGTCACAAGAGGAAACAAAAGGAGACCCCAGCAGCCCCCAGGACCAAGGAGCCACCAGGCTTACCTACCTGTTGAGCTCCCCTCAGCTTGCCGCTTTCTCGCAGGCTCTGGAGGCGGTAAGTCCCTCCTGGAGCCTAGCTCTGCAGCTGCTCTGTGAGGCGCTTTCAGACAGCAGGCATTTCCTTTCCTGGGCTGGGTCTGGGGTCAGACTGGGTGCACCCGCGAAACCGAGGGAGTCTGAGGTCGAATGGCAGCTGACCCAGAAACCGGAAGAGCCTCTGTTCGACTCAGACACGGGACCGGGTTAGAAACCCCACCGGATGCAGGACGGACCTGGTCCGACTTAGAAACCGGAAGGAGTCCTTTGTCACAATGGATGCACTTCGAAACTAGGAAGGAGGGGCATCTGAGTGACTAGGTGAGTTAAGCGCGGGACTTCAGCTCAGGCCATGATCTCAGCTTTGTGGGTTTGAGCCCCGCCTTGCGCTCTGTGCTGATGGCTCAGCGCCTGGAGCCTGCTCGGGATTCTCTGTCTCCCTCTCTCTCTCTCAAAAAAAAAAAAAATGAATGCGACATTAAAAAAAAAAAAGTAGGGGCGCCTGGGTGGCGCAGTCGGTTAAACGTCCGACTTCAGCCAGGTCACGATCTCGCGGTCCGTGAGTTCGAGCCCCGCGTCAGGCTCTGGGCTGATGGCTCGGAGCCTGGAGCCTGTTTCCGATTCTGCGTCTCCCTCTCTCTCTGCCCCTCCCCCGTTCATGCTCTGTCTCTCTCTGTCCCAAAAATAAATAAACGTTGAGAAAAAAAAAATTAAAAAAAAAAAAAGTAAAAAGTAAAAAAAAAAAAAAAAGAATCCAGGAAGGATTACTAGGTCAGGCTAGGTCTAACTTAGAAACTGGATTGGATCCTGGCTGGATTGGGTCTGACTTAAGGGGGACTTGGGGCCAGTGTGACATCTCCGGCGAATAAAATTTTGTGGGCTTTTTTTCTGTTGTTTTTTGTTTTGTTTTGTTTTTTGCTTTTTTAAATATTTATTTACTTTTTGAGAGAGAGAGAGCTGGGGAGGGGCAGAGAGAGGAAGCAGAGGATCTGAAGCAGTCTCTGTGCTGAGAGTGGAGAGGGGACAGCGGGTGCGGAGCTCAAACAAATCAACCATGGCATCATGACCTGAGCTGAAGTTGGATGTTTAACACACTGACCCACCCAGGAGCCCTGGTTAAATTTTGTTTTAAGTCTGAACAAGCAGGCTAGCCTTACCAAAGATAATCTTGAATTACTGTGGCTGCTGCGAAGAACTTTTAACCTAGATAAACTTCTCCATTTACAAGGTGCCCTAGAGAAAAAGGGGTCTCAGCCAAGCACTCACCATAAAGAATAAAGGAAGAATCATTTTTCCTCTTTTATAGTTTCTGGTGGCCAGGATGAGGCCCACTGGGACACCCCACTCACTCCCGAGCCTGCAGACATGATCCTGAGAAAACCGGCAGAAGCCTGCAAAAGGTGAGGATTCTTCCCAGTGTCAGCTCTCCCATTTCTATCTTTCTATCTGTAATGCCTCCTCAAGAAAGGAAGACAAGAGCACCTGGATGGTTCAGTTGGTTAAGTGTCCCAAACTGGAATCAGGTCATGATCTCACAGTTCAGTTCATGAGTTCGAGCTCCATGTCAGGCTCTTCACTGTCAGCAAAGAGCCTGCATCAGGTCCTCTGGCTCCCTCTCTCTCTCTACCCCTCTGCCACTCCTACTTCTCTCAAAAATAAATACATACTTTTTTTAAAAAAAGGAAAGAAGGTAAGATTTCACATTTCCCTTTCTTTCCAAAGTCTGATTGGCAGGCAAAAAAACATTTATAAGACTTAGATCTTTGAATTATGACTCAATTTGCTTTGAGGTACCAACTGATTATCCAACCTTTCTCTCCCCCGGGGACAACCATTGCCTTCTTGTTTGTCTCACTTTGTGACCTGACAACTTGTCTTGGTAACAGTCAGATTGGGAGCCACAAAAAGATGACCAGACAGAAATGTGCGTTGCACCCCATTTGTGGCTAAATATGGCTGGACAGAAATGTAGATTATACTCTTTCTGGCTGGGGTCCTACAGAGTGTTTCTGGCTCTCAGGGGAATTGCCTAAGGCTTTCTTCTGGTTTATCTTTGAAAGTGGGAAGGTAGTATCTTTTGCTTCATGCATTTGTGGGGTTGTTTGATATTGTCAGGAATATTTATTGTTTGTCCTGGCTGATACCTGACAAGATATTTGAAAGGATTTATTTTTGAACTGTTCTGTGGTCAAAAGTTGGTAAATTGGAAGCTGATAGTCAGCTTGATAGGAACTTCCCCCCCCCCCAATCTAAAATGAAACTATGTACTCAGAGAGAAAGTAAAACATTCTGAAACCTTTGTGGGAGGATTTGCTAAAACATTCCAAGGACACACAGCACTAAATCTAAAACACGAATTTTTTTGATTTCCATCTTTATTGAAGATCTTCTTCCTGATATAAAAAAGCAAACTGAGGATAATGTAGTTGGATGGGTGAGGCAGTCATTTGATATCCTGCAGGTTGCAACCGAATTCTTTGAGGAATTAAAAGCAAGTGTACTTGTCTTACAAATCTAGTCTTTTACAAGAGCAGAAATGTGACTGTAGAAATAATTCAAAGCCCACCTATCTTTTTTTTTTAACCAATCCCCAAACCTCCTCTATTCATCTCAGAAAACTTGCAAATATTGTAAAATATCTGGATTTAGGGAACCAAAGTCCTTCCTGATGGAATTTGTATTCTTTTTCTGTGCCTTTTGAGATGTAAGCATTCTACCATTGTCTTCTCCAGGAACCAAGGGTATTCTTAGCAGAAGGAAAAGAAAAAAGAGAGAAGGCCAATTTGAAAACTAGACCTATTAAAAACCTTTAAAGTCTCTTCTGCAAAATTAGTTAATTTCTTTTTTAAATCCATCTGAGCAGGTAAATTGAAATCTTACTTGCATCTTCCAGAAGCAATTTGGATCCCACTGTTCTTTCATAAACTAGTGAGTTTTTCATTACTCTACCTGTCTGGTGGCTCACGTTTTAAAATTATTTATTTATTTATTTATTTATTTATTTATTTATTTATTTATT